CAAGGATGTTGGAAAACTTCTCCCGTTTTTTTTGTTTGCAAGGGGGGGGTTTTTAAAGCAACCCCGAACAACACATAGGGGCCGGCGGAAAGGACAACAACAAGGGGCAACAGCCCTTTTTTGTGGGGTCCATCCTTTCAAGGTTCTCCCCTTCCTTGGGAGCCCGGGGATGAGATTTTTGGGAGTCCCATATATTTTCCCCCCCTTTCGGGGGGTTTTCCCCAAAAAAGGGCCCCCCCCCCCCCCCCGCAGGTCGGAGCATACATGAACACACTCCCACGAAATTCCGTACCTTGTTGAATGACGTCTTCCACCACCACGCCGGAAGCGGCATGTTCAGGAACACCTTGAAACTTTGATCCCTGCTGTAGATGTGTCCCTTTTCTAAACAGCAAACAATCCCCCTTTTTGCGAACGCATCTTTACAGACTCTCCGAGGTGAAGTGGTTGCTATGGTCTCCGAGGGCGTGGAAGGAGAAGATGAGATCGGCGGCGAGGAGTACGGCGACGACGCGAGGGGATCCGCAGAGTGCCAGCGCCGTCTGTGGGGGGCGGATCCCTCACAGAGGGACGACGTGCTCCCTTTCTTCGTGTGGTCTATCGTGCACGACCATCGCCGCAGCGAGATCGCCCTCAACGCCTTCCTCGATGTGAGAGATGGATGACAGCAGTATCACCTTTAGTAAACTACGAAACGAAGCAGGATTTGTAGCGGTTGCAATCAACGCGTTGTGGACTAATTTTTCCCTTTCGTAGTTGTCTTTAGGCATGATGTCTCAGCCAGTCATTTCGAAGATGTTTTGAATTGAGGTCGTTTAGATTTGTCTCAGATAGCGATGGTGTTCCTCGTTTATTGTCGCTTCGCTCCTCTCGTACACGCGGTTCTTCTCTTATGTCTGTTGTTATATGCTGATCGTGGTGCCGATTTGCGAGAGCGTTTACATGCCTCCTGCCGGTGAAGATGCGGCCACACCATTGCCCCGCAACATTTTCCACCCGCAAAAGGAACATTGCCCCGCAACATATTCCAACAAGAATTTTCGCAGTCATGTCCCGTCTTTCTGTCCAGTAGTCGTTTGCCTCTACTGGGCTTACAATCAGTGATGAATGCCCGTCGTCATCGCCGCCACCAACCCCAGCTTGAATTATTGATGAATGCCCGTTGCTATGACCGTCACCACCGCCAAGGCCATCGTCGACCCCGAAGCCCCGTCCTTACGGCTGACGGACTCTTCTTGGGGAGGGGGAGAAGGCGGGACTGCCGGGGAGTCATCCTCTCTAGCCCTACGCTCAGGGGCGGAAGGTGGCGGTGGTGGCAGTACTTCTAGCGGAAGCTCATCGTCATCGTCGCCGTCGGCGTCCACCTGCACCCGGATGGCGTGGCTAGAGACCAACATGCCGGCGGAGTTGGCGAAAGCGTTTCTGCTGGGGAATCAGCTCGGCCGCGCCCATCAATGTGTCGCCCGCTGCTACGACAGGTTTTTTTGTGTTTTGGTGGACCGTGTTTGTGTGTGTTGATGAGGGAAAAGGGGTTGGTAGTTGTGGTGGGGTTAGGTGGTGGTAAGAGGTGTGCCAAGCGTCGCGTTTGACGAGGAGGTAAGAGTGTGGGTGTAGGCAAACCGAATCCCCTGAGACCACTCTCTTGTGACATGGAATGGGAACACACGTGTTGTGCTCGGTGGGTGGGCCTGTTCGAAACACCCCTCAGCAAGCGCATGGCCTACCAGCAGTGGATACGCAAAGTAAATGGATTGTCGGTTGGCTGCAGCGGTGGTGGGAATATCGAACTGCGCCTTCAAGTGCAATTTGTCGGTGTGGTGCTTGGTGAAAAGAGGGTTGATGGCACTCAGAGAGAGACTTGTTGGGATGTTTTGTCTATGCGCGTTCAGGTTTCACGAGAAGTGGGCGGGGCTTCACCCCTGCGCTGACTCTGCAAGGAGGGACCAGCTTCGAGGACTGCAGCTGGTAGTCGAGGTGCGCCGCGGTTGTCAATGCCGTCGTCGTCGCGGTGGCAGTGGCAATATTAGGGTTAGTTGTCGTTGCCGGTTGTAGTTGTCGGCTTCTGTTGAAGCTGTGGATGCCTTATCGATGCTCCCCTCCTGCCTGTCCTCCCTGCATAGGTGGAAGACTTCCTGTCTTTCTATGACAAGAAGGGGACCACGACTTCAACTTCAACTTCAAGTTTAGCTTCAAGTTCGAAGGGTGCAGTGGCCGTGGGCCTGGGGGGGCGGTTGAACAGACTTCTCGACAAGTGGTCGCGGCAGACCCCTTCTCAGGCGCTCGATCCGGTGACGTCTTGGACTGCTATGCTTGCCCACAGGCAGGACTGCTTCAAGGCTATAGAGGTGAGGGGTTTCTGGGGCAAGGCGACACTGGGTACTATTGCTCCTTCGATTGTTCGACTCTGTTGTTGTAGTTGCTGTCACCGTTAGAACAGCGATACTTATTAATATACCAGAGATGAAAATGTGGCACGTGGGATGGTGTGGTAACCCCCTACAACTTCGAGATATAACCACAGTCGAAAGGGACGTGGTGAAGTCCTTTCGGTGAGTGGAGGAAAACCGACTGGAGACTGGGCTTATTTTGAGTTTTTTTCTTTTGTTTTGGGGGGCGTTCTGCAGGGACTACTAGCAGTCGAGAGCTCGATATATCATTGAACCCTAACCGAATCCTAAGCGCAACGTGAAGGCGGGGGGGGATCAGGGAGAGGGAATAATGTTTAATGTGACCCTGGCTTTACCACAGCGGAGAGAGAGAGAGACCAGGTCGGGCTCGAGATTAGATGGACGATGTCAATCGAAAAAACGTGCGGGTCAAAAGAGTCCATGTGACCGATTTATTCCTAGTCGGGCTCCACACGTCCTGCCAACCTGTTTCCGCAACTTGCTAAATGCACACACCAGTGTGGTTCATGCACTACAACACTTGACACCAGTGCGGTTCATGCGCTACACCATGATTCCAACGAGTCACTGCAAAACACGCGTCACGTGTCGGTTGTTGAAGGCCCCGCTCGGTGCACTCCACTGCGAGCATCAAAACCCTCGCGTACCCAAGTCTGCTGGTAGCCGGAACCCGCAAGCAGACTGTCGAAAATCAGGAAGCGTTGAAACTGAAACCGTCGCAATCGAAACGCACATGTACCTTGACGTGGTTCGGATCAGATCGACCTGGAGGAGGCAGAGCTTCCAGAGAAGCAGAGGGTGGCCTTGCGGCGGGACATGCTCAAGCACACAGGCGACTTGTCCATCGTTGCCGCAGGTGACGGGTCGTGTGACGGACTGCTGTGTCTCGAGTCGTGTCTTAAGACCGTTTATTGTCCTTGTGCCATGACTTTGATTATGTGTCATTGTGGTCCAGCTCTCCCGAAAAGAAAGTAGCATATGGAATAATACGTTTTATCCTTTTTTCGACATTGTTCTGTGTCCCTTGGAGAACTCCCCCAAGTAGTCAAGGTGGTGGTTGTTATTGTCGTCGTCGTCGTCGTCGTCATCGTCGTTGTAATTGTCATGGTCCTTGTTGTTCTGGTTGTGGTTGTTTTTGGTGCTGGAGCTGCTGGTCGAGGTAAGGGCAAGGCGGAGCCAATGACCAGATGCCGATTATACACCCGCAAAGGGAGGCAAGAAGACCAGGAGCCAAGTTTTCGAACCTGCCCGATGCCCCCATTCAGGTGCCACACATACTCGTTTCCCTAGTGTACATAATTCATGCATCCGGTGGAAGAACATTGGCTTAGGGTTCACAAGATTGGGTACGTCGCAGGCCGGAAACCTATGAATATGTCTCTTGAATGAATTTCTCCCACATCGCCCTGTACGCCCCCTGCCCAGGTGCCGCCACCGCGCAGGGCGTGCACAGCGTGGCCGGGAAGCTCATCAAGTCCTACGCGGATATCAAGGATAGTGCCGGCCGGTTGGGGACCGCGAGTGATAAGCAGGGGCAAGCGCCACCGACGCGAGGTATTCTTAAGGGCAGCACACACGCTCGAAGCTCGTGTAGGTATCTTAATCTTGTTGCTGCCGTGCGTTCGGTGTAGACTGTGTTGTGCAACGAGAAAACGTGCTACAGCGTTCGCTGAAAATACAGGCTACCGTTTTTTTATCTGCATGTATGCATACCTTTGTCGAGAACGAGGGGGATGAAGCGGTGAGTTCAATCCAAAAGCTTCTCTACGGTTCGTTTTGAAGTGTTCTATTTTTTTTTGTTGCAAGGACAAACAGCTCTTGTTCCCCCCCTTTGTTTCCATCGGCGCTCTCTGATTGCGCACAACAGCAGGTTTCCAAGGTATGCTTGCGACGGAGTTCCAGTTTGTACATGGGCGTTGTTTTAATGTGTTGCATCGTCTCTGCTTTAAGTTCTCATCTGAATGTTGTGAATGAAGAGTACACCCGCCAAGATGAACAACGTACGTGTGCCTCGTGACGAAGCCATAACAACAGAGCCTCCCCAAACACGCAGCGATGGGAATTCGCCTTTAGACGTTCGCTCGTGATGGTAAATGCTAGCTTGTGTCATACAACACGATGTTTTCAGCCAGGCAATATCCGGAAGCCATTGCTGCGTAGTTTTCTGGTGTTGGGAATTGCCCATGGACATTCGCTTGTGATGGTAGAACCTGCCATGGTAATCCTACCATCGCAATCTTTTACCATGGTATTTTTACGTAGTACAACACGTTTGACTGAACCAATGCTAGCTATGCAGTTCGGTAGGGCGGGTGAGAAATATAACTCAAGACTGCGACCAAGACGTGCTTCACCCTCTGTGTCTTCTTTGAACCGACCCGTAATCCCACCTATGACGACATCAAAGGGCACTTGATCCAAACTCAACCGGAGTAGGGTACATGTGAACAAAAATATTGCGCAAATTTTGCTTTTCGTTACCGTGGATTTTCATACTCCCACTTTTTTTGCGCTAAAGGAGGGAGGTTCTCCGCCCCAAACTCATCTCGAATGATTTCTTTTCTCCTCCGATTTGGACCCGGTCAGGCACAGATGGAGATGACAATTGGGACCTCCAACTGACTCTGACCGCGGTAGAGCTCAACAGGGTCAGGCTCGAACGCTTGCGTTTGGCTGGGAACCGGTAGGTTTTTGTCGTGTTTTGAGTTTTTTTCTGGTCTCGGTTCAGACACGAAAAAACGCGAGTTATTGGTGGTGGCGGCGGCGGCGGTAGTTGTGAGGATGCAAGGGAGGTAGGTGGTCGAAGAGAACAAGGGACAGAACGCTTGCATGATATGTACCAGTATTTAGTTTGTTATCATGACTGCGAAGACACTCAGCCGCGGCAGGTCGCGCCGTGCTACTTTGCTAACTGCAGTACGGTGAGGACACCTCTAGCTTGAGAAGTGTCAGCAGGATGATTTTTTCGCTGCGCCTCCGTTTCTTCCACGCTGCTGTCGCCGCTTGTTGTTGGTATTGCGGCAGGACCGGGGCGGACCTTGCGAGAAAGCAGGCTGATTACGTGGCTAGAACGCTCAAGGTGCTCGGTGGGTGCATCTCGCAGCAGCAACAGGCTATTGGGAAGCGTGCCAGCGGCGGCAGCAGAGGTGATTAACAGCAGCGCGGTTACTGCTGTTGTCGGCGTTCGTGGTTTCGTGGTGGTAGTGTTTGGCTTGGTTGATGTTGGGTTTGAAAAGTGACGGGATTGTGGTCCTGGTTGGGTTATAGTTTGGCCATGACCTTGCCTGTCGTGATTGTGAGGACGCTCTTGACGTCGACTGCTTGTCACACCCTTGGCTTGGTATTCGTTCGGGTGGTGGTGGTGGTTGTGATGCCAACCATGTCAAGCAAGACTCGACGGTACCGCTGTTACCGCTGGGCGTATGATAAGAGATAGTCTTTCTTCCTAAGGGTGACAAATGTCGGTGAGTTATTCCCGACACTAACAATAACGATCGAACCATTGACGGCGTGGCGAGCAGGGTGGGGCGAGGGCGAGGGGTGGGAGACACAAGGTGCCGAAGCCCACGAGACACGGCTGCGACTCTTAACGCTTCAGGGGCAGTGGCTCGAGACGAAGGGACTTTTGCTGGCGGAGAACAACTCCTCCGGAGGGGGGCAGGTAAAGCTGTTAACGCTTCGGTAACTTGAGTGCTTGAGGCATGGCTTACACAAGTTCTCGATTTTATTGACTTGATTGAGTTGTTGCTGGGTTTGATGACGTGTCGGGGGCGTCAAGAGTGATTGTATTGTTTGGGTGTTTCGATTGTTCATGGCCAGAACTACAGGTTTTCGGAATTGTTGGGTTGTTGAAGTTTCGTTACCGTGCTCACCGGGTCGGCGAGAGCCAGAAGCGAACAAAAAATCGCAATACGTCAACAGCTGCGGTTCACCCCATCCAAGACATCCGCTAGAACTAAATTTCTAACCTGTTGCAGTCCATGGCATCGACCGCGACAGATCCGCATGCTCTCACCCTTCCTCGAGCCCTAAATCGAGCCCAGTAGGTCTATAATGCGTTCGATAAACTTATCGATCGATTCGCTGTTTTTTTAGCTTGAATCACCCACCCCATCTTCCCTAAACCGGCACAGTGCACCCGCCTCTTCCCCTCCCAAGCAAGCTCGCCTCCCGTACACCGATCACCCACACCTGAAGCTAGGCATCCTTTGTCTTGTCAACCCCTGTTTATGCACGCATGTATACGTCCAGGAGGAAGAGGCAGCCGAGAGCTTCTGTGCATCCCTCGCCAGCCTGGAAAAGGCCACCGAACTCGGGGACGGCTTGACCGTGCGCCCCACCGGATCCAAGCAGTCCCCGACCCCCGGGAGTTCCACTGGAAACGCCTCCGGGACGACGCCTACGCCGGGAGCCGTCGAGGCCACCGGCGAGGCCATGTTGCGGCTGGCCAAGCTTTGCGATGCCATGTCCGCCGGGGACAGCACCATGTCAGGGGTAGGGGGCAGGGGGCGGGAAGACCTGGCCGCGCTCGCCGTGAAGGAGTACCTTCGGGCCATGGCGGTCGGGTGAGCCACTTTTGTAGGCCTTTTACCATTCTGCGACTTTTTTTTTCTCGGTTTATTCTCCTCTTTTTCACGTGAGCGTATGCTTCCAAAGGACAATTGTGCCTTCTTGTGGTGGTTATGCCCCTGCTGGTGCTCTTTTTCTGCGGGAGAATATGCTTGAAATGTTGCTTTGTGCCCACTTCGGCGTCCTCCCATCGATGCCATGTTGCTTTTGGTGAAACCCTGGGGTAGGGTGTGTGTGAACACCCCCCGGAGAGGGCACATAGGAATTGCAAGCACGCGAGGAGGCCCCCCGTATTATGTGCGCCACTCACGGCGGTTGTGCCCTACTGTCCCGAACCTCTTCGAATTCGCTGCCGCACACTGCAAGGTCCGTTTCTGGAGAAGCACTCCTACACGCGAATAGGCCTGACGGCGGTCTTGTCTTGAATGTCGCTGTGGCAGGGAGAAAGTCAGCTGCTGCGATGAACGAAGACGACCTCCGCGAGTTGTAGCGTCAACATAAATAGTGGTACCCGATACACACCCTATCATGCCACCCTCCGGCCATGAAACCACGTATCCCCCTCACCACGGACCGCCCGGTCATCTGCCCTATCCTGCCACGCTCTAACGAAATTCATGTCTCTTTGTTTTCAAGTGTGCGGACAACACTGACGGTCACGGCCAACTACTGATGTGTCTCGCTGTTTTTAGGTCTGCCGGCGCAAGGCACTCTTTCCCGAGAGTTCTCTACCTGGCGGGGAAGTTCTCCAAGGCTCGCGCGGCGTTCGCGGACGGGGCGTCGGCTGTGCCCGAGTGGGCGTTCCTGCGATGGATCTCGCAGATGCTCGGGGTTACAGGGCGGGAGGAGGGGCCTGTGGTGATCCAGGCGAGTTTTGTTTGTGGCAGGCTTAAGGAGAAAAACGGAAGAGTGTGATGACGTTCCGCATCTTATTGGCGGTGTGCTTTTTGAGGGACTTTTGAGGGAAGAGTTTTTTTGCCTGCCTATGTCGCTCTTTGTGTCGCATGGTATACGTGCCGGTGCTGAGGAGGAGCGAACGAGACGTTTAAGGCACCGCGTAGGCTTTTCGAGTCCAGCCTTGAGCGTGGTGCGCGTCCTCTGCGTTCCTGTTCTTGGTGATGCTCATCATCGTTGTTTATCGTGGTATCGACTTACACCAACAGCATTCGGAGATCGTTCAATGGCACAGGACAAGCGGCGACAGATTAGTTTGGACTTCCGCCCTTACTTTTGCCAGTGTCCGCTTCTATCAACCGCGTTTCTGCGAGAGTTCAATGGTACAGAACACAGCGGCGACAGATTAATTTGAACTTCCACTGATGCTTGGGTTCTAGGTTCTCGAGCGCGTGGCGCTCGCCTACCCTCGGGCGCTGTTCTACCCCCTGCTCATGACGAAGGCATCGGCGGCGGCCAGAAACGGCGAAGGGGGTGCCGGAGCCGATGACGACGGGCGAAGGCTCTCTAGACTCACGGCCCTGACCGCCGACCCTTCCGCGGAGGCGTTTGCCGAGGTAATCGACGAGAAAAACCATTCAAAAATGATCGTGGGTGGCATGACGTAATATAGCACACAACCCTGGATCGGTTTTTCAAAGCCCGATTGCTCTGCAGTGAATGTAGTTACGGTGCCGGAAACGGCGGCGTTGGAACCTTCTCGTCGAGGGCGTGCGTACCGTTTGGTCTGGCATCCTCTTCGTCGTTGATTGACTCCGGTTAGATTTACGAGTCTATACGTATCGTGTGTCACTGGTGTGTGTTGACGGCGTGTGTCAAAGGCTTGTGCAGGCGAAAAGCTTTATCTCGTACGCGGAACGTTGTTCCGCACTTATATATTGGTCCTGCGGGGCAGGCTCGGCGATGCGGGAAGCAATCCGTTATTTTGGGCCAATCTCAGCGACTTTCAGGCGGCCAAAGCACGCCCCGACCTTTGGCGAGGCAACTACAGTTATGTACCGCCTGCTGCCTGTTCCTCAGAAAGAACGTGTTTCTACCCGCTGCCATCAGAAAGCAGCTTGTCTTCGTAAATTGAATTTACAATCCAGACCAGTCAAATTAGAGTGTACCACGACTAGGAAACATCGAGGGGATGTGCGAACGAGAACAGTTGACGACACCTCAACCCACCCCCCCACCCCCCTCCCGCTCCTTCCTTCCCTCGATCAGGCCCTACGTGGGCTACATCACCCCGAGATGCGGTTCTCGGATGGCATGAAGCGGGTGTGCGGGCTACTGAACAAGTCCCAAAAGGACCTTGCTCGTGTGGCCTACCGGAAGTTGCGGAACGACTGCCTCGTGACCACCGGCCGCAAGACAGGGGACGACAAGGTGCGTGTGTCCCCCCCTCCGAGGAACGTCAAGCGCCGTTTTCTCTTGGTTGTAATGGATAGGCAGCGTTTTCTCTTGGTTGTAATGGATAGGCAGCGTTTTCTCTTGGTTGTAATGGATAGGCAGCGCTGGAGTCGTTTGCCCAATTGTATACGTGGCATGCAACACCGAGGCGCGTGGAGAGACAGCCGGCACTTGTGCTCGTGGACACGTGTCCCACGAATAAATGGTGCGCACAAACCGCGGGAAGCTCGTACCGCAAACTGTTTGTGTCCGTTTGGTTGCCCAGACGTCAGAACGCTGGGGGTCCGCAACGATTTATTCGGTGCATGAAATTTGAGTTTAGGTTGGGTTCAGTTATCGAGGCGTGTCTTAATAGGGCATGTTTTCTTGGCATGGTTCCGAGAGTGCCCCACCAGCGCGGGTAGACGATGCCCTTCTCCGACGTAGTTGTGAACGTCTACAAGCTACCCGTCCGGCCTCCGCGGAACGATTAAGCAAGCAAATGAATGTCTTTCCGCCTTCCTCTTGTGTCGAAGGTGGGTTCGTACAACCGTGAGTTTGCCAAGAAGCACATCAGGGAGTTGGACAAGGCCATGGGCAAGGACGGGGAACTTCTGAACGAGCGTGAGGCTAGGCGCTTCCTGTTCCAAGGTGAGGACATGTGCCGCCCGGGGATAACCGCCGGAAAGTGAAGCTGAGGTGCATCGGTTGGCCTCGGTTGGGTTGTTGTTCGGGCATGGGCGAGCAAGCCTTCATCTCGTAACGTGCGATGTTTCTTTTCAAAGTTGAGTGATTGACAAGCCGCCATCTGCGCGTGTAACCTCTCACAAAGAACGTAACCGTTGACACGTTGCGGCGATAAACCGGAACCGCGTTCCTCGTCTGTTATTCCCGGCTGAACTCACCCACCTTGTACCAACAACCAATCCAGAACGCACCCTCACCCCGCTCCCCCCACAACAACCACCCCAACTGCAGGCAGAAAATGGCAACTCGAAGTGAAGAAGTCTTCCCGGCTGAAGCTTTCGGGTTTCTCAACGTGGATGTCCGACTTCGACTCCAACCGGCACAAGCTAGAGGTCCCCGGACAGTACGGGGGGATGTCTGCCGCCCCTCCGCGGGTTTCGCTGCACAGTCGCATCGTCAGGCATGAGCGTGCGCTTTTTGTTTCGGTGCAGGCGCCAGGGATTGAGAGCTCCCCCCTTGTATTTCGCGCCAGAAAGATGTTTGGGTTTCATTCGCCTTGGCATGGGAACGGCAACGTTTCGCGGGTTGGTTCAGGACCCCGATTCTCTCCTCCAATACTTGAAGATTTTCGCCTTCGTTCGACTTTGGATTGGCGTGTGGTTAGCAGCAAGAGACTTAGAGCCACTCTAACCCTTGGCCCTAGCGCGACGTTTTTGCTGCCGTGAAGGAGTTGCGGCCTGCTACATAACGCCTGCAAAGCATATTCATCGGAACGGCGAAATATCTTGGGAACACAACTCGGCAATAGCTTTGTACTTGTGCCGCGCTCGTGTCTTTACGGGCAGGGTTAGGGCGGAATAAGACGTCAACAATAAATCGAGGTCAGGATGTTTCTGGTTCATGAGAATACAGCGAAAAAAAGAGTCGATTTCGGCAATCCGCCCAAGAAATTTACTGTAAAGAAGCAAACAATACCACATATTTGTGGTCTTTAGCCTCGAGAACTTGGGATCAGCAATCAACAACCTTTCCATTTTCGCCGTATTTTTGTTGTTGTCCAGCTTCGATAGCGAGCTTTTGCTGATGAACTCCCTGAGACTGCCTAAGCGGCTGACGATGCACGGCGATGACGAGAAGGACCACATGTTCTTGGTGAGTGGTGTTGGGGGTTGTAGGGTCAGCGTTGGAGTCAGGAGTTCGAAAGTTTGGAGATCGTTCTCAAGAAACCGTCACGGCAAACAGAACGGCGCCCATGGTTTATTGCACGAGGAGGAGCCATGAATAGGGCTAGAGGGTTTTGGAGTGGCGTTCGTAGAGCATACATGTTGGCGACCAGTGGGTTGTTGTCGGGGAAGCGACCGGGTGAAGATATAGCGTGACTGCTGGCTAGTTGTGGAGAGGAACCGGCCGGCGTGTGTGTGGTACGACAGAGTTCGTGTTTTCTCACGAACCCCCCAACGGCATATACATTCTGTATCCAGTTTTCGGGAAGAGGAGAGAATGACGGAGTTGGCCGCAAGTAGTTGTCTCGATGACAATCATCCGAGTTCTGCGACCAGGTATCAAGACGTGGTGGGCACCGACAGAATCGCCTCGCTTCATAGCGCCAACCGACGAAGTTGCCACCAGTGATCGAAGGCGTCCTCTTGCCCACTCTGCTATTTAAGGGGCGGCCACAAGTGAGGGACTGGACGACTTGTTTCTTCATCACTGGCCGATACAACAATGATGCAACCGATGCACAGTCCTACATTCTGGTGTATGGCGTCGCGGGCCACCGGTGGGAACGCACCCTTTTCTATTGGCGACTATTTTGCCTCCCATTTACATCAGGATTTCCCTTGCTGCGACCTGTCATATTTCCGAGGGCGATATCTCTTTCCCTGGAGAGCAGTGGGCCAGGACATGGTCACCCGAAGACCATTCTTCGAAAGATATTGGTAGGAAGCAGCAGTCTCTTGCCCTCTGTCGATATCTCCCGATGAACCAAAATCCCAAACACTGCAACTTACTGTAGAGTGAAATGGAGACCAAAACCTTGTTTTCGGCCGCCCTCGCTTGTCGATTTCGCACGCTTCTTGGGCAGGTGAAAGGAGGGGAGGACCTCCGTGTGGACCAGCGCGTGGAGCAGCTGTTCGAGGTCATGAACGCCGTCATGGCCACGTCGGCTGGCTGCAGACGCGCCAGGCTCTCCAACACCACCTACAAGGTGGGCAAGTTCGAGGTCATGAAGGTTTTTCGGAGAAAGTCTTGACGTTTGTTCGGAGAGAATGTTTTTGAGGGACTTTGAGGGACTTTGTGGATGGAACCAGGAGCGTATACGGAGGTGGAGGGGCTGTCTCGGGTCAACTAGCCCCCCCCTCGCGTAGGAGGAAGGATTGACCATCGGTGATCGATCCTGTGACAACAATGCTCCGTCCTCTCAAGGACGCGTGGTCATCGGTCTAACCGCTAAGGTGTCCAAACCGTAAGAGTTCGCCCCCCTCCCGTCGCCCCTCGCCCCTCGCGCCCATCTTAAGCGTTTCCGCGCACATTTTCTTAGCCTGTGCTCAATTGCATCTTTGCACCCCCTCACGAAGCTTGGCAAGGTCTTGATGGCGGCCGGACGTCGTTTTTCGTACAAGCCACACCACTCGACGGCCCGTACGCTTCAGCAGCATACCTTGACAACGCTGTATCAGCGCTACATCAAGCAGTGCAACATTTCGTTTGGAACGCCGGAACAACCGAAAACAGCAACGTCAAATGTTCTCCTTGTTTTGTCATGGATTGGCGTCAACAGGTGGTCCCAGTGACGCCCGAGATCGGACTGATCGAGTGGGTCCAGAACACGAGGCCCCTCAAGTCGGTCATAGAGCAGGGGCTCGGTACCAAGCTGGGGTCCCTCAGCGCTCTCGACACATTTGGGAAGTAAGTCGTCGACGGGCATGCCGTGTTTGTCAGATACGGCGAAGTCAGGTAGTGGTCGGCTCCCATGATATTCCTACCTACCGTCGTGTGCCTGAGTCTTGCTGGGGGTAGGGAAAAGGATGCAATCTCTCTTCGTTTACTGCATCGCGATTGCATCTACGATCATCGTGTGACGGACTCGACTCTTTTTCACTCTCGAGCTTTTTCTCGGCCGACGAGGTGCCAACGCCGGGTACGTAGCGGGTCGGTGCGGCACCCATCGACGGACAGCTCTCTCTCTGTCTCTCTTTGTATTTCTCGCTCTCTCTTCTGCTCCTCTCTCTCTCTCTCTCCCTTTCTCTCTCCCTTTGTCTCTCTCTCTCTCTCTTTCCCTCCTTCAGACGACAGTTTCTTCACCTCGCCATTTCATACACGAAATCGTCCGAGTATTCACTGCCGTGTCGTGAAGCCGATCGCCAAGAACTGTGCTGGCTCGTGACCCCTGACGAACATTATTGGCCTTTGTTTTTCGCTTGGAAGGGGTTCATCCAATGGGCACCTATGCATACCTGCCCGCGTTGCTTCTTCTAGAGGTGGCGCTGTATTGAACACGTCCCGGCTTGTTAATGCGACGAGGTTCGAAATTATCCCTGCGCCCCCATGCATCCGTATATATTTGTGCAACCATCGTCTTTTCGTTGTTTCGCGTCTTTCCTCGCAAAGGTTCCTGAAGGCAAAGCCGAAGCAATTCCCGGCTCCGAATTTCCACGAAATGTTCAAGACGGAAGGGCGTCCCAAGGTGAGGCGAAACTCAACCGCGACACAATACAAGTGGCGTCGGTCGACGGGGGGGTGGTTCTGTGGTGTCCCCCCGTGTTGCCTTGCTTGCGTGCATGTCTCGGCGAGGGTCTCATAAACGAGCTTTCTGTGTACATACGTCCTCAGGAACAGCTTTTTTCAAAATCGATAAATTGGTTGTGTTGCAATGTATTGTAGAAGCGCAATAATTATATTGTGTGCTGTCCGAGCTCTCACCCGAACGAGATTGCGCGCAGGTGGCCGGGGGGGGGTGTACTCATGTAATCCCATGCCGTAGTCGCCAGACCATTGACCTCGCATCGTTACAATGCCAGGACGGAGCGACACGCCGAGTTCACGCCGGCCCAGGCTACGTTTCACAAAGGATAACCAGAAGCTAGTCACAGGTGTCCGGGGGGGGCTACCTAAGTTTATGAATAAATGCTAAAGTTATGTTTCCGTCGCCATTTTAACCGTCCCGTCGTTTCAGGTCGAAGAAATGTTCGCCACGTGCTGCGCGACGGTGCCGACTGACGCGCTGAGAAAACACCTTCTGGCGATGGCTCCTTCCCCGGAGGCGTTCTTGACGTGCAGGTATTAAGTATTTAGGTGTCCCACCGACCGTTCCGATCTCTCTGCCCAGCACCTTCCTCTGTCCATCTGATCTACCTTTGCATACCCGAAACGCACTTTTTTCTGAAGTATCCACAAATACAAGTGTCCCGCAAATTATTCATTAATCCTTCGTATGGCTACCTTGATATGCTTGGGGTTTTGTGCGGGATGGGGTACAGGGCATGTTTCGGGAAAGAAGGAATGTTAGCAAAGCGTGCTCCACGCACCAGAAGACACGTCTTCCGATCTTGAATGTATATCTTGGCATATTTCCCAGCCCTCGCGCATGACCAAAGTGAGTAAACCTCTTCATAAAGGCAACGATTAGCTTTTCTTGGCGTGGGAGTGGCTTCCTCTCCGAGACCCGTGGCCAATATTCATTCGAACGCTAGAGTTTACCGCACCCCCGACCGGCTTCCTCGCATGGTTCAGGGGAGGGTTTGCGAGGTCTCTGGCGACGCTGAATGCCTGTTCGTACGTGCTGGGGATAGGGGACCGCCACTTGGACAACTTCCTCCTCGACACCATGACAGGGTAGGTCTGTTGCTTTTGTCGTCGTTGTCATTGTGTTATTGTTGTTGTTGTTGTTGTTGTTGTTGTTGTTGTTGTTGTTGTTGTTGTTGTTGTTGTTGTTATTGTTGTTATTGTTGTTGTCATTTTCTCCGGATTGCTTACCATAGTATCCAGTCCATGAATTCTGAGGGGTACGGGACGTAAACACCAAGATGGCGGGATCGACACGCCCTGGGGCATCGCTCTTTTGCTGGCAGCGGCAGAAGTAGTTACTGACGGAGACGCGTTCCTACTGCAAGCTGTGTACCAGATATTTTCAAAAGAACAAATTGCAGTATTGGATGAAACAGCGAAGCAAAGAAAATCGCATGCTGCTTGCTGGAGAGTGTGACACATGTGTCGGCAAAACACACCGCCACAGCCGGAGTTGTGGACGATTAACGACCCTTCCCGCTAATTTTATGATGACGACTGAATCAACCTGAATTTCGAACACATCCAGGACGGTGGTAGGGATCGACTTCGGAGCGGCGTTCGGGATCGCACACACGGAGCTGGGTGTGCCGGAGTTGATTCCCTTCCGCCTCACGAACCAGTTCCAGAACCTCCTGCAGCCGCTCGATAGTGTCGGCCTGCTCAAGGGGTAAGGGTGTGCTCTACTGTTGCTGCTGCTGCTGCTGCTACTGCGAAATGTTTTCTTTTACAGACAAGTGATTTTAACCGCCGGCAGTCTTGTTTGTTTCTTGCATCGTCTGGAATATACGTTAGTTGCGCATGCATTCCTCCCTGTACTTGGCTTCCCCCACGACTGCAGAGGACACCCGTTCTCCAGTCCTCCAGAACCCTTCGCCCCTAACGACCCCCCCCCCTCCGCAAGGAAGCTGCCATGGCAGTATCGCATGTGCGGGATGGGAGAGGAGAGGTTGCCGAGAATAGTATGGGAGGCGAAGTGGGCAAACAAAAAGAGGGGTATACAGCCCACGGAATGGGTCAAGGTTGTAGAGGACGTATGGAAGGGGTTCGACATCAACGAAGATGAAACGCTGGAAACGGAGGGTCTACAGGGGTTCAAGGAGAAGATATCTGTTGCTTGTGCCGAGAGAGAAGAACATAATCTAAGAAAACAAACCGAGGATAAGGAGGGTCTAGAAGTGTACGGAATGTTGAAAGAAGGGATAGGGTTCAAGGATTACCTACATGGACCAATGGATGCAGGGACAAAGCTTAAGGTCAAATTCAGGACCGGGGACATAGGCCTTCGAGAACGTCGACGAAGGCATAGGACGGTAGACGACGAAGACGACAAGTTCAAATGTGATTGCAGCTTCGAATGCGAAGACGGTGTTCATGTAGTCGCGGAATGTCAGTTGTACGAAGAGGAGAGGGAAGTGTACATGACTGAGCTGGGAAAAATAGAAGGGAGGTACAGGGAGATGTTTGAGGCATGGAATAGAGAGGAGAGGACGGCAGCTGTACTGGGGAGTAGGAAGTGGTTTGAAAAGGCCGGAAGGGATATCTTTAGGATAGACAAACTAGGGACGACATTTTTTAGCCACCTTTGGCAAAGTAGGAAGGAACGATTGGCCATCGGTGATCGGTCCTGTGGGAACAATGCTCCGTCCTCTCGAGGACGCGTGGTCAATGGTCTAACCGCTAAGGCATGCAAAGAATAAGAGTACGTCCCCCCCCCCTCTCCCCTACGACTCGCCAAAACCTCACGGCGCTTTGCGCTTGGTGTCGTGAGAGCCTGGTCCGGTAAGAACCCGGCGTGTTCCGCCCCGGCTTTGTAGGGATGCGAGGCCCATGGCCTACCGCTAAGGCATGCACAACTTGAGAATGCCCCCCACACGCGGTGCGAGGTCAATGGTCAAACGACTACGGCATGCACGACTATGAGTACACCCCCCCCCCCGCGTGCCATCCCTACTCCAACGTGCCCCCCTCTGTGGTCGCGCTCGAAAGGCACATGGTTTCCACCCTCCAAGCTCTCCGGGCCGGACGCGAGGTGCTGTTGGCGACGATGGACGTGTTCTTGAACGAGCCGGTTATGGACTGGATAAGCGAGGGGGTTGAGCGGAGGCAGGCAAAGACCAAGAGGGGCGGCGGTGAGGGCGGGCTTTGGTGAACTACGAGCTGTGTGCTTTTCTCCGCGTGCTTCTCCAAGGCGCCAAAAATACCAACGTTTTATTTGTGCCAAACGATAAATCTGTTTTTATTAGAAGCATAGGTAAATTTGTGTTACACTTGACGACAGTTTTGAGTGTTTGCCCTCTTTGTCACTATGCTGGCTTCTAACGTAGCTAAAAACGTCATCCAGTTAGGCCTCCAACCGCGGAGGCATGCATGAGGGGGGAGTGGATAACGTTGGATGCACAACCCTCGTGTGCTATCGAGGCGGACTTTACCGTCTTTGTCACAGCTGTTCGAGCTGCCAGCAAACTAAACCCCTAGCATGGAAAAATATAAAGTGTTTCGGACGGCAGCAGAAGGTTCAGATCGTTTAATTGCCGATAGTTTTTTCTTCTCCTGCCAGGTTCAGGACTCGGTCAACCAAGCACAGAGCAGTTCGTACCTGCAACACCACGGGTCTTCGGCGCTGATGTGACGACAACACTGTTACCCTGTTACATCAGACGCTGTTGTTGATGCTGTCAGATAGTGTGACGGTTGATTGGCTCTCAATTTTTTCGCTGTCTACCAGACCTAGTCGAAAAGGTTTGGTTGACTATCTCCGCGCATTTTTCTCTCGCCCTTCGGCAAGGCGCACGTCACTGGCTTTCTCCCGTGATACCCTCAAAACCCTGTCCACTAATTCTGCAACAACGGGATCTGGAGAGTAGCAATAAAACCATGATGACCACCTTGGTTACCCTTCCAGGAAGCCAGAAATGCTTCCCCTGACTACGCGGCCCCGTGGTTTCATAACATGTTCCCCGACCCCCTCCCCCCCCTCCTGTTCTCGCCTCCTGCCTCCTGCTTTTTTTCTGGAACTCCGCGTCGACCCACAGGAGGCGGTTCGGGAGAGGACGCCGCAGATGAGGGCCTTACCGGCCAGCCGCGTCCCCCCTTTGAAGCACGCCGCAAGATCAAGAACGCGAAGAGGAAGCTGCTTGGGGAGAACCCGGCAGCGGTCCTCATCGATGACCTGGGACAGGTTGGTGCTGTAGCTGCTGCCTTGCGAAACCGAAGGGGTGCTTTTTTTTTCTCCGTATACCGTTTTTTTTTTCACCGTTTGCAGGAACACATGAGAACGAAATGACCTCCGACTACGCAGAGTTCAAACGGCGTTGTAATTCTGTGATTCTGCTTTGCGTGCAAATGGAAGTCCGGTTCACGTTGACGTCAAGACCTCGAAAGACCCTGCGATTGCGCGACGCACAATACTAAGAGGGCAGTATGGAAGAGGTATGGGCCACATTGGCCGATGCTCTTGATTTTGCCAAACCGTATGTAAATATGTGGGTACGTGTTTTGTGATGTTGCCCTTTCCACACGCTACATTGTGGCGTTGTTGTTATGCGACCCCTGGCTGTCTACCAAAAGAATCGTTTCGATAACGAGATCATCGCTCCACATCCTTTCAATACAAACCCGCTCAAACGTACTGAGTCTCGTTAGTGATGCACTTGAAACCGTTCTGATGTGGCTATGACCTCACAAAGGCTTGCCCGATTACGATTCGTGGGTACACGTTTGCGCGCAGAACCTTTCTGTCAAGCAATTAGGCAGCCTGGCGAAACTTGAGGCCATCTCCTGGGGGAGTAGCGGCGACAGGGTGCGATCTAAGCCGGAACACCGCGAGGGGTGGCTCTCCGTGGAAGACCAGGTGCGTAACAGTACCCATACCGTTGCCGTTGCGGGGAGAAACAGGACTGTTGGTTTTTGGGAAACTATGGCGTGGTTTAGACTGTCCGTGGTAGACTAGGTTTAGCGGCGATACTAATGGATGCTCCATATCACCTATTGCTGTCACTGGCGCTTTCTTCGGTGAAAGACGGCGGGCTCTACGCGCAATTGGTTTGTTGTCGAACTGCTCTTCCAGCCCCGCGAAAATGAGGAGTGACGGCGGTAACTGCGTTGTTGTACCACCACTACCAGACTTTGTATAGATTTTCGAAATCTTTTAGTTTTGGTCCGCTGAGAGTCGCTGGGCTGTTCGAGTTAAAAACCACTTTTAGCTGTGAGAACTGTTGAGCTTGAGAAACGTCACACCGCTGCTGGCAGTCATATGTGGGTGGGTCCTGCTGCCTGCTTATATTTTCATCTTGCATCGCCCCTTGATGACACTGTGCTCTCATGAGCCCACTCCACAGGAATCACTTGTATATACAGTTGTTTTTGTTCTCTTGCTGGACTCCTTAATTGCGAACCACCCTTACCGTACAGTCCTTTCGCTTGACACTGCCCAGGTGGATTGTCTGATCGACCTTGCCACGGATCCGGACGTCCTGGGTAGACAGTGGGTTGGCTTGGCCACGTGGGTGTAAAGGCGTCCACGCGTATGCCGAAGAGATCGCGTGTGCATGGTTGGTTACATTTGGGCCTACTGTGGGCAAACGAGTGCGGTTCACGCGTTGTCGTGATGGGGTGGAAGGGGTTCGGGTGGTAGGCGGATGGCGGATGTGAACCCTTGGCGACTTTCTGCTTTGATGCTCAAGCGTCTTGGCGTGGTGGGACAAAGTTACCCACGTGTGGCGAAACGAGCGGTACTTGGAGGGAGGTTTGTGACGGCTATCGCTTCGCTAAGGGCCGTGGACTGACACCTCGTCAAGCCGCCCAAGGTCTGTACCTATCGATGCAGACCTGCACTATCAAAAGTATTTTCGTTGCGTCGATGCTCCTGGTTATTTAAGTCATAGGACTACGCTTCGTTCGAGATTCATGATTGTTTCGCGCGTGCTCGGACACAGAAGTCATCTTTGGGTACGAACTTTTGGGTGAGTCTCCAGAAGCATTTAGTGCTACCCTTGACCGATGGTCAGAAATATGACAACAAGACGAAATTTCAAGGGTTCTCTCGGTAATTTTTCCGCCGTTAAATTACCACCGTGGTGGGCGATCCCAGTACTCCGCCGTTTTACCGCCGTTTTTTTTTTGCGCCTCCGCCGAAAGCGTTACCGCCTACCGCCAAAACAATTACCGTCATACGGCAATACCGCCGAAAAATTACCGCCATGTAGCTACGTTGCCGCCGAACGATTGGCTGAGTGAGTAGACATCTAGCCTCGGTTGTTGTACAACCACAGCGTGAATCAGGAGTTCGAGTCCACGTGTGGACGTACTTTTTCCGACCATTTTTCATGAAGTATCTCTCCTTTGGTTCGGGTTCGTTTTCGGGAGAACCATTGTAGGTATTGAGTGGATAGGGAGACGAGGAGGCGCGCACATTATTTTGCGTCGAATTGACTCTAAAATGTGAAAGCCACTGGTGAAAACCACAATACAAACCATGGAAGTATATTATCAATCTTCGGCAAAGTGGTTTGCCGTCTGTTCGGGCGCGGTAACTTACCACCGCAATTGACTCCTTGTTTGGTGTCGCTTGAAGTTGTGGCCATAGGCAATGTCAGTCATTACCGCCATGAAATTACCGCCGTGGCGGGCGGTCTCGGTAATCCACCGTTTTACCGCCATTTTTTTTAGTTCTACCGCCTCCGCCAAACTCGTTACCGCCGAAAATCGTACTTCGCCTACCGCCAACACTCTTACCGCCGAATGGCCTTACCGCCGCAAAATTACCGCCAAAATGCTGTTTTACCGCCTCCGCCAAAGTCGTTACCGCCGAAAATCGTACTTCGCCTACCCCCAAAACAATTACCGCCGTATGGCAATACCGCCGAAAAGTTACCGCCAAAATTTGGTTTTACCGCCCCCGCCAAAGTCGTTACCGCCGAAAAACGCACTACCGGCTATCGCCAAAACAATTACCGCCAAATGACATTACCGCTGAAAACGTGTCCGCCTAAAAAAAACCGTTACCGAGTAAATCCTTGGAAATTTTGGTGGGACCACCAGGCCGCCGCAGGAGGCCTCACCGAACCCGTCGCTAACTACACCAAATGGTCCGCCCTGAGGATGACGGCAAAGGGGTAATTTTGGGTCGTGTCGACCCTTAGGTACGTCGGAATATGACTTCTACCTTCCTACCTCTGTCCTCTACCCGTGTCACGCGACGTTATGCGTGGATGACTCCACCGTTGTCATTTTTTCGCCATATTTATAGGGACAACGTCTACAAGATCCTGAAACTTGAATGCAAGTCAGCCCTCAGAAAGAACAGCGGGAACCACCCTTCTTCCCCCATCTGGTACCCGCGAGAAGCGAATGGGCTTGACTGCCATAAGCGTGGTGGCCTCGGCTTTCGCCCCCACATCCGAGATTTTCTCCCGTAGTCCCCCCCCTGGCGACCATACGCTGGAAGCTTGGGGTCCGATTGAGCGCTGTGGACTGGATGGCCCTCGCGTAGGGCCTGCCTTGACGAAGTGAACAGACAAACCGAACCCCACACAGGCGCCCAACAACTGGCAGCCACCCGAACCGAGCAGATAAAAAAAGGTCCACGCCGACGATCGATCGATCGCATCGAACAACGACGGAGAGAGCGGGAAAACGTACTAGAAGTAGTTAGACTAGAAGATGATGGTGACTCGTCCGGACAGTCACCCAACAGGAAGGAATACGTTGGCACGTGTTCGTTTTCGACTGTTGTTTCGATACGTCCTGCGCACATACATGTAGGTGCCGAGAGCACCGAATCCACGAGCAACGTTCGGCATCACCGCTGGTTGTGTAAGTATCCGGGTGCCGTGTCTGGGCCGAGACTTTTGTCGGACTCCTTGGGATGGGGCCTTCCGTTTCGGCCCCATTTTGGTCATCGCCTCTGAGGGGTCGCTCCCGTGATGCCGCGCCATCATATTAGTGAACGATCTGTCCGGTGCTTGGCACATGAGTTTTTCCTTGGGTCTCCTATCCATTGTGGTAGACGCTTGAGTGATCGACCGCCTTGTCCAATATGGTGTGCGTGCTCGCATCATTTCTACTGTGTTTGTGTTGATGTGCGAACCACGAATGAATGGGAGCGGACAAGCACATGGTATGTCAGCGTACTTTTAAAGCATACCGCCATAGGCTATTCCTCTATCCAGCAATCCCACCTACTGACCCATATGATAACTGTTTCTTCTTCTACGCCCTTCGTTCGAGCAGATCTGGATGAGATAATTTGGGTCCGATCCCCACAACTGTCGTTCGTGATGGGTAGACGCACGATTTTCGGTTTCCTGCTGCTGTTCGTGATGCAGCACCGCACCAAAATTTCAAGTTTGACCAGTGAGAGAATATTAAAAAAAAAACTACCGTTGGAGCAAAACTACAGAACGGAAATTCGGTGAAGAAAAAACAGCTCAAATGTTTACAAAAATAAGAAAAAAGGGCTAAGAAACACAGCTCCATCTCGGCCATAACATAAGAAATAACGACTCAATAAGAAACATGATCGTGCGATACCCCCAAGACAAAAGAAACAAGGGGGTAGCTGGGGGAGCGTGTCCAATAAGAAAGGTCCCACTGCTGCTGCTGCTGCTGCTGCCATGCTCCCACCCCCTACCTAGCTCATGTCATGTAATTCTTTGGTAAGGGGGAACGACAGTGGTTATTCGCGGCGCCCGCCGCGCCCCCCCGCCCCCGCGGGCTGCGCTACCCACTGCCACAACCCCAACGGCCACACCGAGCTGTCGGTTTAATGTTCATGGAGGCTTGGTGGGTTGTTGTTGTTTTCCTTGCCAGAAATGAGAAATAATAATTTCAGCAACATGCGACAGCCCCAAGGAATAAGAAATCATTTTCAAGAAATTGGCCGACCTCGGCTGGTGTTTCTGCCCAAAATAGGAAATTAATTGAGGCTCGACCCGAATTTGACGTTTCTCATCTCCGGGCCCGTTCTGTAGCTGTAGAAGGCGAAATCAAACCACTAGCTAGCGTAGCTTACTCAGTGTTGACTAGGCCTATGGTTTGGTTTAGGATACGAAACACAAGTAGTTTGTCGTGGGTCCGAATGGCCTGACACTTCCACTCCGAGGAGTCCCGCGAGCGCTGCTATCCATCCAATGTTTTCCCGCATATTCTCTCACTCGTCACCGACATCCTGCAAAATGTTTCGGGGTCTTAGACGAGTTTTTCTGTCACCAATACGCTTACCGACGGTATCCAGGGTCTCACGGAAAAAGCTTCCTCAAGAGTTTAGCCTGAGTTTCGACCCGAAGACTGCTGCTGTAACGCATTTTACCGAAACCGAAAACCAAACTAAATTGCTGAAATGACCAGTCTAGGCTACAAGTAATACGGTGATAATGCTATTTGCTCCACCGGTGGAGTAACTTCTTAATTTCTCCGCCCGGCAGTAACTCCATCCACACAACTAAGTCCAATTGACCCCAAACCTTTCGCATCGTGTTCCAACGATCCATACGTTTCATATTTCTACAAGCGGACACCTCATGGGACACCCCTATTCGATATGTTCGTGCAGAGGTACATATGGTCACAAGAAGAGGGCTAGCAGATCCGAATTGTGGACATGCTGTTACCCCCCCCCCGGCCATTTGTTCGGGCGCTCAATCCAGTTTATTCAATGCGTTTATAACATATAATTTAGTATATGGTAATAGCAAAGTCTATAGATTCCTTATTATATAGGATTTAGTATATAAGTAGTATAAAAACCATATACTAAGACGTGTGGATGGGATTATGTGTTGACCGATACAAAAGTATCACAGTAGTTTAGACTGTGCCTGAGATGCAGTAGTTTAGGCCTACCCATACTAAGTCCTATACAATATATAACATATTGGTTATACCATACCACAATAAATCCTAGTTGAAGTCCCATATACGGTAGATTACAGCCGCCCCCCGCTCCCCCAATGATCTGGCCCTTATTCCAGTTTGTGGCATTGCGTCCATATTTCGGATCCGCGAGCCGTCGACGGTCAACAGAGGGGGTTCAGCAGTATCTAGGGGGGTGAGGAGGGACAGAGAAACGCCCACCCACGGCGGCTCGGTGGCTCAAAGGCTGGTGGAGCAGAGAGACCATTTTCCTCCACCTACTAGACCATACGTTGACCATGCCTCTGCACGAACATATCGGATGGGGGTGTCCGGTGAGGTGTCCGATAGCTTGTATGAAAGGTATGGATCGTTGAAACACGATGTAAAAGGTTTGGGGTCAATTGGAGCAGTGTGGACGGAGTTACGAGAGGATTACCGTGCCTGAGATGCTGCAGTGCCCTCTTTTTCGAGTATACCTCTGCAGCCACTGGTCCGATTAACCTTTTAACTTTCTAGATACCTGTAGCCAATACCTACACGATGCAGTTGGTTTCAGGTCGATTGGAGCTCCGTGGGCGGAGATCTGTAGAAATGTTGCGAGCACGAACACCCTGTTGGACGAGGCGACTCAAGCGTCTACCACAACGGATAGGAGGACCTATGGGAAGGTCGTTTGCCAAGCATCGTGGTTTTACCTTCGCGACCCCTCAGAGGCAAAGACCATACTGGGGCCCATACGGAACGTCCCATCGCGTGAAGGTAGTCCGAAATCAGTCTCCGTCCAGATGCGGGGAGCTCCCCAACACTCTGCGTGCACTACTCGACCATTGGTCTTGTCGAAATTTTCCTAGTGGAACCGACAAACAACCCCCGTAGTCTAGATCCGCGTTCCAGGTGTCTAACTACAGTAGACCGTTATTGTGGTTTTCTTTCGAATCGCTTCATTATTCTAAATTTTCTTTGGTTTCTAGGCCACACGTTGAGGAGAGAGGCATACGGAACGCGCATCGTCTCGCAAGCCGCATTGACTGCGAGGCGCGACGTTAGTTTTGCTGTACTACCACTCCCAACGTTGGATGGCCACTGCTGTCCTTCCTTCACTTCTAACGCTCTGTAACTTCCTCGTTGCTTGACTTGCTACGGCTACTGCGTGCTCTCTTCTCAACGAAATGACACGAAAGGGGGCTTTAGTTTCCTCTAGACTCCGAGTTTCCGAACAATAAATGAAACTAGATTTCGAACCGTTAAACCAATCCGTTTATTCCCTCTGATTAACGGATAAAATTTCCTGTTTGTTTGTTGTTCGATGCGATCGATCGGCGGCGTGGGTCATTTTACTGCTCGGTCCGGGTTGCCGCCAGGTATTGGACGCCTGTGTAGGGTTCGGATTGGCTGTTCATTTCGCCAAGGCAGACCCTACGCCAGGGCTACCCAGCCCGCGGCTCCAAGCTACCAGCGCAGTGCCGCCAGTGGGCGGGCTAGGGACGAGCATCTCAGGTGTGGGGGACAGAGCCAAGATCTACACGCTGAAACCAGTCAAGCCCATACACGCCTCGCCGGCAGTGGACAAGCGGGTGGTCCCCACTACTCTGTCTCAGCACTGACTTGTGTTGAAGTTCAGGTTTCGGGAGACTTTCTCCCGAGAAATGTGGCGCAAAAGCGACGAAGGTGGAGTGATCTACGCGTAACTAACGTCGCGTGACACAGGTAGACGACGCGGGGTAAGATGTACAAGTCCTTCCGGCGTACTTACCAAGGTCGATGCGACGCAGAACGATTCCTGTGATGTCATTCTCATTGTGGGGTGTAGCTCGAGACCCATTTCCAATCCTGGCCAGGAGTCTTTGATTCTACTCTGTGTTTGGTTCGAACACTCAGCCTGTACCGCCAAAAGTAAAACCCTTTCATTGCCAAGGGGCTTTTAGGTCAAGAGAGAACATGTTTTGAAGTTCATGAAGAAAGTGGAGCCGACCAGGAATGCTGGCCTCTAAGCCTCCGAGGTGATAGGTGTTTCGCCATTATGGACTGCAGTGTGGGCTGTGTTGCTTGGCAAGCATAATGAATGATTATTGGGTCCTCGGCGGGCCACCACAACTGAAACACCAACCACGACCTATGAACTTCTGGTTTCGAGCAGTCCTCGCAGCTTGTTCCCCTTGTGGGGGAACCAATGCGTAGGTTCTGGTGTGTGGGGGTGGGGCCCACGTATAATTTTCCGAAAGCTTAACCCTCTCGTTCTTGACTGCCAAGTTCTGAAATGGTGGCTAGCGCTATCTTGGACGTGTTCAGGAGATCAGCACGACACTGAACGGAAAGGTTCCGATTTCGTTTCCACGGGTTGATACAACTCTCTCCCTAATCTTAACTCCACCGGTTACGGCACGAAATACTTTAAGTTCGTTGTTGTTTAGCATGGCCAATTACAGGATTACCGTGCAGTGTGTCATATCGAACCGATTTTCCTGCCAACCATCCGGCGGTCGACCCGTTTCGGGCCTTAACTCCTCAAACTCACACAGACGACATGACGCCACACTCATATGCTCGTTTTGAGTTGTTGTAGGGATAACCCATTTGCTTTGTGTTGAAAAATTGCAAATCGAGGGTGCCAACGTTTAGCCTCGGCATTAACACTTCACCCATATCAGCCATTGGATTATAACGCGAGAGTACGTCGAGGCTTTTCGCTACACAGTCATGGAGGAGCCCCACAAATACTCGGCGGTGACTTCGTCCCCTTCGGCACTTGCATCGTCCCAACGGCCGCCATTCTTTGTCAGTGCCACCACGCCGTCCTGGCTCCACGCTGCCCCGGGAGCACGCCAAGCGGGACGAGATTCCAATCGTTGTTGGAGGTCCGGAAAAACGGATTTCCACTCCGACAACCAAGTTAGCTCCGGGGTGATGGCAAGGCTGCCATCCCGGTCCGTGGGATGAGAGCACAACTCGAAAGCTAACAGAATTGGCGTGCTACCGTCGGGTACAGGCCGGGTCTCTCGGAGGGGCGGCTTCTTCGGCGTAGTTCCCGGATGAGAGCAATCTTCGCAGGGCCTAGGGCTCCCGCTCTGCGTAGGGTGGGCCGGATTATTACCCTTGACGGCGTGCCTTGGATCCGGGACCGCGTTGGTTCCGTTCGTCGTGCGGGTGCTTGACGGGCACGAACCTTGTTTTCGTGGACAAGAATCGACCCCTTTGAAGGCAGAGCTCCCATGCCGCGGGTCTGCCAACGGATGGTTGTGACTGCCGACACCACCTGGTGCTGGTAGACTGTGAGGATCGTTTCCCTTATGCCAGAAATCCCCGTGGTCGTTCCACAGCGCAGTTCCCCGCAGACCGGCACGATACGCGCAACGCAGCATGTTCTCCGTGCATGTGGACGGCTGCCTGGGCGTGTAGGTCAGCAGGAGTATGCCCACTTCCGGGTCCTGATCGTGTGCGCGAAGAATTGAGTAAGATACTTAAAGAGGATAAGAGACGGCTACCCCCCAGACCGATTTGTCAAAGATTTCCGTAGACGTATCGGAACCTTTCCGCACGCACTTGGTTGTGAAGGAATCGAGCATTGAAAATCGGTCTAGGGGAGTGCCTTCTCTCCGACTCTTACGGAATACCACAGTACGGTGTACGGTACGGTATACGGTACGGTACAGACAATCTTGGTCGTGGATTAATCGATCTTTGAAAGTCGGTCTAGGGGGGGTGCTATCTCTCCGCCTCTTTCGCTACTGTGTCTTTGTGTAGTCGGGCCCACACCCGAGCAAGCAGTATGCGCTTGAACTGGCTGGTCTTATCGGTGCTTTGATGGTTGACCCTCTTGCGTACCATGCGCTGTTCCCGACGAAGTTGCATGCTAACCGCAACAACACCGAAGCCGGGGGCGAGAGTTAATTCGATGATCTGGCTGTTGAGCAACACCGCACAACGGCATACGGAATCCAGCAAAGAGTGCATCAAGCGTGTACAACATCATTGTGAAGGAGGGCATACGGGTATCTTACGACCGACCCGTTAGTCGCTCACCAAAAGCTCCGCTGCCATAGCGAAGAACGCCTCTGCGTCCGAGAACGGTTTTCCTGGATATACTGTGTCAGACCCCAGGATCACCTGTAAAACACCGCACGCACCTCAGACATTAACAAGTACAAGGCTTACCGGCAAGGAGGTGCAGTGCTTCGCGTGGAAACATGCAACAATAGGCAGTTTTTTTCGGAAGTAATAACCTTGCTCCAACATCGTTCTTGGCAACACCTCAACATCATTTCTTCCCGGAAATGCCTTCCCACAAGAATGCCTTCACAAGGGGATTAGCGAACCATTGCGCTGGGCTTTCGGGCATCGGGCACACGAGATTGCTTGTCTTCTAGATGTGCTCGCGCGAATGTAACCCATCCACCGAATACGCCAGGCCTCCACAAGCGTGAAAAAATGCAGACCCAGATAGTAAGCAAAGATCTGGGACATCAATGTCGAGAACAACTCGAGCATAATGAATGTGTTATTGAAACTCGGCATTCACTGATTGCATGAGAAACCCATTTCATTCGTGGAACACAGCTTCCGTACCTTGAAAGGCGAAAGTTCCCGTATCTCTGCGGGACAGCTTATACTATTTCGCCCCCATTCAAGTCGCGCCACCCGCGCCCTCGTTGCCAGCCCGTTCAGGTTGATGTTTATCCGGAGATTCTCCAGGATGTCGCTCCTTCGATCCGTCAGGACCACGGAGCAGCCTAACGATAAGGACGCCGTCATGCCGCAGACCCCCGTGCCGGCTCCGAGTTCTAGGACCGTCGGCGGTGCCGACCTTTGGTCCACCGCGACGCAGCGATAATCTTGATGTGGAGCGGTTCGATGTCGGGGTCTAGGGCTGCTCTCCCTTCTTCCGGCCGCAGCAGCTGCTGCTGAGGGCGTCATCTTGCGGTTGGAGAAGGTGACGCGCATGTCGTCTGTTTGGCCATCGCAGCTGCTGCCGGCGCCGTGCAGCGGGGTTGCGCAGCCGGGCTGGTCGGTAACAAACTGAGGGAACAGCCGCCGTGCGCCCGACGGGTCTGTCAGAAAGCGAGCGAGAAAACGGCTGCCCGGCCAAACATGTAGACCGGTTCCATCGAAATTGCTGTCTTCGTGGGTTGTGGTCGCACATGGTCCGCCGGCTGACTCGCGAGACCCTCGAGGCGTATCCTGTGGAGCATATGGTGGAGCGAGAACGATATGGTGAGAAGCAACATCCACAACCATGTTCAGGGCTGACACTCGTCATCTTGTTGCATGGTACTGACTGTCTGTACTTGCTCTGTGGCATAAAAAAAATGCTACGGGGCGCAGATGGTGTCATCCCCGCCCAGCGAAGGAATCTGTCGACAAAACAGTTCCAACACCGGCATTTTCGGCAGTGGCCGCCTCATGGTTGTGGAACAAAACAGCCATGAACATCGGTCTAGGGGGCGTGCGATGAATCGTACTTCTACGGTCATCATGACGAGAGGCCTGTTCTGCTACAGAGGGAGTTGGCATGTGCCATGCCTTGTCATTGCCATCCTACCCAGCCAGGGAGCCCCACGATAGATACTAAAACCAGCTACTGTAGGTTGCAAAAGACTTCCCCTGGACCGATTTTCAAAAGTTTCAAATGCCATTAGTAGTACTCGACGGTCAACCTAAGACTAAGTAAATGGATACGTATATCTAGATATATTGTAACTTTAGACTGCGCTTCCCTCCTGCATGTAAAAGTGTCGACGTATGTAGACTATGTGTCAGAACTGCACAGAGACAAACAACGGAGGGTTCATCACAACAAATTGGTACAATATGATTTTGGCGCGTGGGAGACTACGGGAGGCCTAGAATAGGCTGCAATCCGAATACAAGCACGTTCGGGTTTACTTGTAGGCTTGCGCGTCCTCGATGGGGTCAGACTACAGAAAGCGTTGGAGGCACGCTCTAGTGTCTTCGATGATGCCGTCGTGCATTGTCTACCACCTATTCCTTGCCTTGCTCGAACTTTCGTCGTCTCGTCGGCCGCCTGCTACTCCTACCGCGGAGCCCGTCCCCCGATTCCCAGCGGCATCTGCACCAACCCTCGTGCTCGAGTGCTGCTTCTGCTGCTGCTGCTGCTGCAACTCCCGTGCTTGTTGTCTCGGTGTAGGCTGCTGGGGCGAGGCATCTAACAAGCGCCGCTTGTAGCGTATGCGGAGCGTCACCGGGGGGTCGCCGACGTCTAGTCTTCCGATCGAAAACCCGTTCATCTTGTTGTAGACCTGCATAAACGTACAAGCAACCCTAGAAATTGTCTTGGTCTGCTGAGAAGGCCTATTGTAACGATGCTGCAGTAGATATAATTCTGTCGTCCACAAGAAAGAAGACAACATGATGAACTTGGTGATGACTAATGATCGAGGGTCAAGATATGACAACAATGTATCCAGTTTGTGTGCTCTATGTTCAAACTCAGTGCACCACGCGTTCCAATGTCTGGTAGTGACTTTGCTCCTTCCATTTACTGTCTTTCTCCATCTCCGACGACAGCCAACTGATAACTGATGACGTGCGCCGGACGCCCGGGCTCCAATGGTACAAAGTTCCGCCGCGGAAACAGCTCTAGTCTAGTACGGTTGATTGGAGCATACCTCGCTCCTTTCTTTTTATCTCCTGGTTGTTGCCATACAGGAGCCGGCCTGCTTACAGGTTGGTGTTCCCTGCCCTTCACCGATTTCCGCCAGTCGTCCTGCCGCACGCACAGCATCTGCTGCTATGGATGCTTGCCGCTCGCCCCGCTCCCCCAGCGAAAAAATGCGGTGGAATAACGGTGTGCGGCGGAACACTGGTTGGTACGTTGGACATCGGAACATCGAGTTTGTGGCACTTGCTGTTAGAGGCAAGCCCCCAGCCTTGGCACAGGGAAGCGTGCGACAAACAGTATACCAAAGGTAGGAGTAGACTGGCGTCCAGAATGGATGCCATGACACGCCCAGAAACGCACAAACTCTGAGGAGACGTCAGGGTGCTACTGCGGGGAGACAGCCAGTCATTCCTTCTCGGGAAGTTTGTCGCCATCGCGTTCGAGTCACGGAAACAGGGCGGCCAAGGGAGCGAGCGGCACACGATTGTCAATCAATCTAGTTTTCGGACGCAGCAGAAACCCACCTGGTTTATCTTTGTTTTTGCATTTGAGGAAAGACACGCGCGCGACGCGTGTGAGGACCGTGGAGTTTGTACTCGGTTTCGATGTAGTATTCAAAAATGACTTGATTTTAACTTCACGTTGCACTGGACCTGCCGCCATTCCGTCAACTCGACGAGACAGCGAGCCGAGAGACTTCGTGCCATGTCTGTGTCAGTCTGGTCACGGTCACGCGAAGTCACCGCCAAGAGGGAACGGCCTCTCTGGCATTGATTTCGTGAGCTACGAGACAATCGGTCGCAGTTTCTGTGCCAGCAATTCTGTGCCATCACCAAGGTCCGTGCCGTCACGAAGAAACTGGAGTATTTGAGCCATGCCCCCGTTTCTATCCCACATCCATGTACCCATGGGTATTGCAGACGAAGCCTGACAATGTTGCCGATGCCATTCACTGCGATTGTGTGTTGCTGCATGTCATCTCGATCTTATCCCCCTTGCGTGCAGACTGGTCGTACAGCAGTAGTACCACAACAGATCAAACTCTTGTGTTTACGTTGTCATAGCCGGCGAGGTACGAACCGACTCGTGTACACAAATTTTGCTGTCAAGGCGACGGCAAGATAAAAAAAACAGACACACACAAACGTCATGGCACAACAAAGTGCTCAATAAACACGCCATATGCTCGTCTCTGACAACTCAGGACAGCCTTAGGCCAAACCTGGAACCTTCCCATCCAAACACGGGCGTAACATGGCGACGTCCGGGACAGATGAGATCACGTACGCTGGTGGCGGTACCCGAGAAAAAAAAAACAGGATTGATTGCCGTGAATACGCCCTCCGCCTCCTGGAAACGTTAGACCCACAACCAACAACTTCGACGTTGAAGACCTTCATCATGCCCTACAACACCAAAAAAATCTTGTACACACAAGCACGGGCCGTCTCCACAGGACAAAAAAACGCACACAAGCGCGCGCGTCTCCGAAAGACCAAACAAGGAAGGAACATCACACATCAGACGAATTGCGTCAACCTAGCAGCACCGACACAACCACCACAACGAGCGCATTTCCTTCACTTCGCCAAGCTCTCCAAATAACCCTCCAACTCATCCAAGTTGTCGATGTCAAAGCCGTCGTCGCTCTTGCCAACCTCCGCCCCCCCTTCCGGCGCCGCCTTGTTGCCACCACCGCCACCACCACCGCCCCCCGCAGAATCACCCACCACCCCCATAATCCCGAGCTCCCTCTCTAACTCCTCCAGCTGGCTTAACTCGTCCCCCAGTGTCTCTCCGGCTGATTTACTGGCAGCGGTAGCACCACCGGCCGGTGCCGCTCCACCCATCCCCTCTGAAGCCGCCGTTCCCGTTCCTCCCTGCGTTGCCGCCCCTGCCGCATCCAAAGTGTCAAACTCCGGATCATCGAAGTCCAAAACTCCGTCGTCTTGTTGCGATGCGCTGTTCTCCTTGTTCCTCTCCGCTCCCACCGCCTCTACCGCCCCAGCCCCCTCGCTGCCGCTACTCGCGCCCTTGCCACTCTCTCCGGAACTGGAAACCCCGGAGGAGGCCGCTACGGGGGGCGCCGGGGGCGTCACACCAGGGGAGGTCAACACTGACCCGGGGACGCCGACGGCACCATCCCCGCCCCCAAGGCCGCCCGCCGGAAACTCGTCCTGCTCCATCTCGGCCTCGGCCAACTGTGCCAGGAGGTCGTCGTCGGTGATGCCGCCCGCAGGTTTCGAGGAGGAGGGGGCGGCGGAGGCGTTAGCGGCGGTGTCGGTGCCGCCGCCGCCGGTCGATGCGGCCGAACTCGCGCCCCAGCGGTTCCTCCCGGCCTGCCCGATGTCGCACGACAATGAGGATGAGGTGGCAATAGCGACGGGATGCAGCATTGTTGTCAGGCTGGCGTGTTTCGCCGTTTGGGGTTGAAGGGGCGGGCCGCTAAACGGTGTGGAACGCCGTGCTATCTACGGATGTCTTTCAACGTACACAACGGGAGCGCGCGCCCCATCATCACATCCAGACTGGAGCCGGTAACTGTATGACACACATGAACCTGACAGTACTCAAACGGATGTTGTGTGGTAGGGATGAATGTCGGAGGCGGCGGCTTTTTGGAGGTGGCGCGAGGCGGGCTGTGCCGCCGGCCGCTATGCTCAGAGCAGGGTGGCACAGGAGGAGGGGCGCGGAAACACTGTCAAGGGTAGGTTGGCCAAGCGCGCTTGTAGAAAAAGGCCCCAGCGAAGAGGGGAAATGGTGCCGTACCTGCAAAGCCTCATCTTCGTCGATGCTGAAACGCAGCCCCGCCGCCCCCGCCGCCGCGGCCGCCTCCTTCTGCTTGATGGCCTTTGCCCTCGCGGTGTCGATGGCACTCTCCGGCGCCTCTCCTCGCGCGCGCGCCTCTTCGCGCTCCTTGAGGAGAACGGCTCTCCGTTCCTGCCAAGAAAAAAAAAAAAATGCTAATCTGTCTCAGACTCTTTTCTATGATAGAGATGGATTCGTTGTGTCATATTAAGAGAAAAAAAAAAAAAAACGGCGCGCAGAAAAAGAAAAAAATTAAGTCTGTGCGCGGCTGTTGCTGTGCCCTCGTGATGATCCATCATCAGCACGATCACCACCTAGTGAGAAAGAACGTGGTGTGCAGTGGAAAGTGGCTGCGTGATGATGCCGAGGTATCCATCCGCAACAACAGTGAGCCCGTTCCTCTTCGCTCGAGCAAGCTTAGCAAAGGGGGGCCATCAGGAATTCGGAATTCCGCAAAAAACGGTGCCCCAATCGCTCGAGCCGGAAATCATTCTTCGCATGTCTGCCGTCGCCAAGACCCTCATCAGGTGTATCATCGCCTTCTTGTTCGTCATCGACAACAACAGCAGCAGCAGCAGCAGCAGCAGCAAATACCTTTCTTGCGGCGATCTCTCCCCAAAATCTGGCGTCTCTGTTCAGCATGGAGTCAAACGCTTCTCCAGCATCGGCATCCACGACAAGGCCGCCTTCCCCTGAAAATAGGAACAAGGAGGAAGAGAACACAAGGGGAAACAACGTTGCACTCGTCAAACGAAGTGCATGCATGTGAGATAGAGGCGAACGGGGCGAGGCCCGAGAGCTTAGGGTTCGTGTGAAGGTGTTGTGGGATACTGCAACGAGACCAGTGTTCATGCCCCAAACAACGCTCGAGTCTGAAAAATACTTGATTTTCCTTTCAAGCACGTGAGCGAATTCCAATGAGATTATCTCTTTTGTATGGCAAAGAAGAGAGGGGCACCAGCCCGAGCGGTCTTCCTACCATTTAGAACTAGCTGGCCATTCAAGATTGTTGCTCTCTCACACGGCAGACACGGCTTCCACGCTCGATGACCACACGCAGCAAGGGGCCTATCGGAGATAAAAGACAAACGCCGTGATACAGCTCCAGCCGGCGCGTCAATAACTCGCCTTCCGCCCTCGACACACAGCGGTAGCACGACAACATCGCCCACAAAGAGACCCATCAGTTCTGGGAAAAGTCAATGGTACGAGTTGTGGCGTCGCGTTCCAAACGTACAAGAAAAAAAAAAGTCTTCTGTGGCTTAACAAACGTTTGGCTTAACAAAAAGTCTTCTGTGGCTTATTTTCGTCCTGTGTGACCCCGGCTGGTGCGTTCCCCCAAGTAGGTGCCGAAATGTGTAAAAGCCCGACATCCACAAGAAACCGGATGACGCACACACACAAAAAGGAAAGACCCTGTAGCCCGAGTCGTCGAAGCTGGCGAGATCGGAACCCGTCGTTGTCAGAGAAGGCTCGGTGCGAGAAGCACATGCCGCCGCCGGAGACGGCATGCGCTGGTAGAGACCAAACCACGTCTGTTGAATAAACGTGATGCTAGACACAACAACAACACATTCAACGACAACGGCGAGAAAACCGCCCCCCTCACTTCTCGCAACAGCGCTGTTCTCCGTCTCGTTCGCCGCCGCCCCCTCCGGTTTTCCAGTGGTGGCGTTTTCTTCTCCTTCCCCAGCCGCCGCCGTGGCAGCCTCGCCTTCCGGTGTCGGTTCCAACGCGTCGACGGTGTCACCCTCGGGTTCCGGTTTCGTTTCGGCTTTCGAAGCGGAGGAACTTGGCGTGGCCTCTACAGGGGCGAAAATGAGGTCCAGGAAGAAGTCCTGCCAGAGTCGCCACCCGTTGCGGCATGTCAAGTGGAGGATTTTCCAAGGCACGGTTACAGGGCTATCGTTGGAGGAGTTTTCAAGGCACCGTTATACAGCTATCATTGGAGGGACCGATGCGCCACCACTGCTGTTACTACGGTTGCGTCAGAGGAAGCTTGTCCATGGCACGGCGACAGCTATCGTTGAAGCGATCGATGAGTCAAATACTGCTGTACTCTGCTCACGGGTTGCCGTTCTCGTAGGCAAGCCAAGGCTTCCACGCTTCAGCCCCCTTCACGGAGCAGGTACTACCATACAGTACCACTCAAGGCTACCCTATTACTTCCCCACAAAATATATCGCCAACATGGAGCGGTGATCGGAAGGAATGAGTCGAAATAGTTCTTCCGTGTGCGGGAATCCAACCAATACAAAATCTCTATAAATAGACAAGAGTTCCCGGAAAACGCGTTTGGTCTTTCGTGCAGAGCCAACGGTTACACACATTCCTCTTGGAAACCAACAAACAAATGAACGCGTGCTGTTCCCCTCGAGTTGGCAGTGAAGGAAAAGCCCCGCACAAGAGACTTGCACCACCGCCACCACGGCTCGTACCTCCTTCATACTTCAGGAGAGAAAGCTACGGCCGTGGATTACGTCGACCCTTACTTCGAGCGACGGAGAACAAAAACAAAATAAGGGCATATTTCGATACAAAAAGACACCCAAAACCATGTGCATTTCACCTGGTGAAATCGGTCATCGACGGAGAAGACAAAAAAAGGGCATGACTCAACTATAAAAAACACTCAAAATCATGCCCATCACCTGGTGAAATCAGCCATCGACGGGAGAAAAAAAACAACGCGTATGACTTCGATAAAAAAAGACAACCAAACCCACATGCATTTCACCTGGTGAAATCAGCCATCGACGGGAGAAAAAAGAAAACGAGCATGACTTCGATAAATAACGACAACCGAAACCATGTGTATTTCACCTGGTGAAATCGGTCATCGGCGCAGGCCCCGTCGAGCTGCTGCTTGGTGAGTCTCAGCACCCCGCAGGGCACGTACCCCGTGTGAAACGCCGCCCTAAACATCGAAACCCGTCGGCCGGTGGGGCTTACGTGACGACAGCGGACCTGAGCGAGGGCATACGGCACGCGCCCGAAACACACACGTACACGTGGTGAGCGAGAAACAAGAAATTGCCGTGCGGAAAAAAAAGGCGGAAAAAAAAAGGGGGGGGGGGGGGGGGCACAGTGAGGCTAAATAACCCCACCAAAGAGGCGGTCACCCCTCCCCCCCGCGCGCGCGCAGAGAAAGCATCGGCAGAAATATCACTACTTCGAAGTAGATGACACCAACCAAACAACCAAAAGCAGTAAAGGTTGGCTTGGGCGAAGAACAATAACAACAATCCACCAGCAGGCGTGGGATTCGGGAGTACGAAAAAAAACGCATCGGGCAACGAACGCCTCTGCCGGTGTGCGTACCGGGTGCCGCCAAAAACGATCGCCGTGTCGAACATCGGCGGCGGTCTGGTGCCGGTCTCAGTAATTGAACCCTTTACCTTCTTGATTGGTCCCGTATATCGCGGTCCCGAATAGCGCGGTTCCCGATATACTCGAGTATACATCGCGAAAAAAACTCCTTGACACAGCAAACTGTTACAAACGTACTACTCATGGAGCTTTCCCAACAGCGCGGGTCCCGGTATGACGTCATGATTTTCGTCAGTCACTGCGCCGCGATATACCGGGACCGCTCACCAGCAGATCTCCTTGCAACACACAGTCCACCGGAAACGAGATGCTGTCGTCGCTCGTGTACGCCCACGGGAGCCGTTCCCCCTCCCCGGCCGACGCGTCTTCCCCGTCTCCCGCCGCGCCGGGGGCCCCGCTGCTAGTATTCGCCAGGCCCTCGGAGGGGCTGCCAGTGTTTAAACAAGCCGCGGTAGTACAGCGTAAGATATGGCACACTTACATAGTTGACGACGCGGAGGCGGAGAGCCATATAAGAAGCAAATAATCTCTATAATATAGAGAGGCGGGGTTCGGTAGACCTGGCCGTGACCCTCGAACTTCCACCGATTGCATACATTTTTATCTAACATGTGTGCGTAAATAAAACCTGCGGAAGTTACTAGACGCAGGGCTGACATTTCCCGGGGTGGCGGGGGGGAACACAAACACCCCTTATTCTCTGTTTCTGGCTATCTTTTCTCTACCTGTCTGCCTTTCGTCTGTCTTGTCTCTGTCTTTGTCTCTGTCTTGTCTGTCTGTCTGTCTGTCTGTCTGCCTGTCTGTCTGTTTGTCTCTTGTCTGCCTGCCCGTCTGTCTCTGTCTGCTCGTCTGGCTGTTCGCATGTGACTCCCCGTCTATCTCTGCCGCTTTCCAGCGGTGCCAAGCCTCCTCACCGGTACGTGGCCGTGAAGATGAGCGCCCCTCCCTTGAACACCTGGATGTACGGGCAGCACCCAAGCGCCCCGTCCTCCCCCTCCCCGCCCGCCGCCACCGCCTCCTCTTCCGCCTTCGCCGCCGCCCCCTTCCCCGGCCCGATAACGCCTCCGTTTTTCGTCCCGAAAGTAGGGATGGTGTTCATAATCACGCGCCGCAGGAGCAACGGCTCGGAGCGCGGCCTGGGACAGCAAAAAAAAAAAAAGACTGCACGTTTTCGCATTTTGTATTTGCATTGATGAACGGATCATTAAGGAATTAACAGGTGGGGCATTTTGCACTCGAACAAGGCACACGTTTCGCATAAGAGTATGATACTCGCATTATAATAAACGAATGATTCCTCAGAAAACAGGCGGGGCATTATGCACTCCAAGACGGCACGTTTCGCAAACAATATTAACATTTTGTAAACGACCAGTCCGCGGGGCAGTTGCGCCCTCGAAATGACGAGCGATGGAGCCGCCGACACGCGAGCACAAGGCGGGAGTCATTGTCGCATTCGGCAGAGCCGTGGGGGGGGCAGGGATGCGACTAACGCTCGCTACCCCACCCCACCCAAACACGCCCCGGCCATATCCTCCCGGGTGTGTGAAACATTCCGCAACCTAACACGTGAGCAACAAACGCATCGACAGCGCTATGATCACATTTCTGCGCACCTGACCCCCTCCATGACGCTGGAGAAGTAAGAGAGGTAGCGGCGCTGGCTGGGGATCGTGAGCCGTTCCATCGCAACGCCCTTGCAAGAGGCGACGTGCTCCAACGCCTCCGACGGTGCGGAAACCTCGCCTGCAAGGACAGAAGTGAGACAAAAGAGTCGCGCCGACACAACGAGGCAACACCTGACTGAAAACAGGCTCTTGCCAAAAGCCGCGCCGCAAGAGGAGCATCGTGGCGCGACATAAATGTAGGTAGAGGTAGGCTTAGACTGACTCAAAAGCCCAGCGGGGTTTAGTCGAGACTCCTGGGACGACTTCCAACACAACTCTTCTCCAATACCCGTGGCCGGCCGGGCGACAAGAAACAGAACAAACGGGTATGCACACAAATGTGGAACGGGATGCAAAAAGACGTCAAGGAAAAGTTTGCAAACACGTCATCCTTGCACGAAAAACGTTCGAGAGAAAACATCACCGTATACAGCAGCACTCCTTCCAAGCAATAATCAACTCTGTGTGTGTATGACTCTTTACCCCCGCCCCTTAAGGAACGAGTGGCCATGGGTGATCGGTCTCGCGGGACAATACTCCGTCCTCTCAAGGACGCGTGGTCAATCGTCTAGCAACCAAGGCATGCAACGCACTAGAGTACGCCCCCTCTTCCTTTCCTCACCGACCCAAGCCAAGTAGCACGCCAGGACCGTGCTGGTCCGCCCGCGGCCCGTGAGGCAGTGCACCGCAGCCACGTTCTTAGGGTCCGCCAAGAGCCAGCTCTCAATAGAGGTGCACATCTTGAAGAGCATCCCCAGGGGGGGGGCGGGGTGTCCCGGGAATCGAAACTCCAACACCTTCGATGAGGAGGGGGGGGGGGGGGGGGAAGCTGAAATGGTATATCCCGGTAAAGGGAGTTGCCCATTTTTTAAAGGGTAACTCCCAAAAAAAAAGGGAAAAAAACGGCCCTACCCTGCCCCCCAATCCACTGTTTTTTTTCAAAAACCCAAAAAAATCCCAAAAAAAAACAAAAACAAGGCGCCCCTTCAAAAAACAAAAACACCCAGCGAGAAAACCGTTCCTTTCAAAAACCCCACCCAGCCAAAAAAAAAAAAGGGGGTTTTGTTACACTAACCCGGGCCTGGAAAAACAAATAAACCTAACCCCCTTCCCAAACCTTCCCAAACCTGTAGGGGCCCCCGGGGGGGGTCCCCCACAAGCCCCCCCCAAAAACGAAGTTCTTTCCCCCCCCCCTCCGTTCCCCCCCCCC